ATTATTATTATTATTATTATAATTATTATTATTATAAAACGGTCTACCAACTGCAATTGTTTTTCTCATGCAACAGCGAACTCACTTATGTTTTTGTTTGGCCTGATCTAAGTCAGGCCACGGTAGACTCACAGATCAAACCGTGAAATAATCTCTGGGCTGATTAAAGCTGAATAGGTTTTGCAGAAGGAGAAAACAAGAGAACCCTGATGAAAACCCTCGAAACAAGACAGAGTATCAWCGCTCAAACATTCTTTATAAATAAAGACTAAAAAAAGCGTGGGCTTTCTGTGGTAGATTCTATTATACCACAGGTATCCCAGCTGTATTGTTCTCCATTGGATTTTAAAGATTTTGGATTTTGTTTCACCAAACTTCATGAATAAAAAAAATATCATGCAAATTTTAATCCTTTTTAAAGATTAGGAAATATTTACTTCACTCAGTAAAATTAAACTGAATATCTTATGGAAATTTTAATTATTTTTGAAGAGTTTTGCGCACGACGCCACATGACATAATAAAACTAGACGCATATCTGCGTGAACTCGGGCTTCATAGCAGAAAATCGAAAGAATTCTTCGTGAACAATGTCATCCTTTTAGATGGTGCAAAGTCTGTTAGACTTTCGAAAAGATATTTGTCCTTGTAAATCACGCGAGCTAAAAATGTTGAGGGAAGGCAATCAGGATTTTTTTACCAGACAATACTTCAAGCAGCACACATGTACCTTGACATGACTTCTCCCATATAAATCTCTTGCATGAAAATCAAATATTTTGAACCCCACATTACCATTACAATAGATAGCAACTGTAGTACTTCCTATTGTTGACACAAAATTGGTGTAGTTTTTAGCTATAAGTGATTCAAAGGCTCTATGCAAAGAAGTACAGTACTAATATCCTTCTAAGGCAGCCTCTTGATGTATAGCACCTGTGTAGCTTTCACTGTATTGAAGTTAATAGTCAGTGTCAAACACATTTAGCATTGGTGGTAGTTCTGAGTGCATTAAAAAGGACTGTCTGGCTAATTGAGATAAACTTGAATACAACTGATTTCCAATATCCCTAACTAACATGAGATCACTTGTAGAATTAACTCCTTGCTTGTTATTGTAAATCAAAGAGCTCAAACTCATTGCAACACATTGCTGTCCTGAATTTTGTCTAAATACCAGTTCATCACCTTGGCTATAAGGTATTGTTATTGTTTTGCTAGGGTCAATGTACATTGGAGCAGGACCAGGGCACTTCTCTATGTCTGTACTCAGTTTAAATTTACAATAATTTGACATATGGGTCTTAGTCTTGTATAGACACATCAAACTATTACAAGCAAACAATGATAAATACCGACTTGCTCTATATTTTAACTTCATTATCCCTTCATAAACCCTGTTAGAGCAATTATACAAAAGCTTCTTTTCATGTTGTATGACTTTATTTAAGCTTATTCTCTTAGTATTCAGCTTACATTCATTTTTTGTAAGTTTTCTAACCTTCAGCTTTCTGCTTTTTGTTTCTCAGACATTTCAGAGTTCGTTCTAGAATTCTGCTGGGTTCACGATCACGTCTACGTAGGTTTACATGAGATAACTGTTTTGGTATAGCATGATTATCGATAGATAGCTCATTTGATATAGCATGATTCACGATAAAAGGCTTACTCTCAAGCGTTCGCTCGTAATTTGATCTCTCGTAAATTTCGCGGAACGACACGTTCCGAAAACGCTCGACATCGTGGGTCTACCGCGAAAAATGTATGCGTTTGTATGTATTTTGAGCACGTTGGACTCCATTGTATATGGAGTCTTACTGAGCAACAAAACCTTGCAAAAATCCGCCATTGCTCGACCATGTGCTTACGTGGCTTATACTACGCACGCGCACTGCGATTTGTGACAGAACGCAAATAAAGCCCAATTTATACCTTGGGCATTTCTTTGAAAGCCCGAGTAATAAAACAAAGATCAGTAAATTCCAAGAATTTACATAAAAAACATCTGGCTTTGTGCTATTCTCGGAAACTGCCCTCTAGAAGGCAAAACATTGCCCTTCCAGGTAAAAAACCAGCCAATCATCGACTACAACAATACTTTGCGCGTGTTCCCCGAGATCACCTGGTTTATAAAGCAAAGGAAAAACGCGAAATTTTAAAACCATTATCGACAAAAATCGATCTTATATTTTATTCACTGGCCATCGATACTACCGATGTTTGACAACTGTAGTCCCCTGTCTGAACGTGCAAAATGCGAGCCAGATAACATATCAATCTAATATTACAAAATACCGACCTCTGGTTTGAAATCGGAGCTCTTTGTTTCTCCAAACCAATTCAAACGCAACCACACAGAATATCTTGGCATTTTTTAAAATTCGATTTCAACGAAGCAAGAACTTTAACAGTGATGTAGTATTTACTGTACTTGAGCGAAGGAGGTAAGGAACTTCTACCTAAATCTATATCTTTAATATTTATTTAATAATATATATATACATATATTTAAATATACGCCAGTGCAATTCACATGACTAAAGCCATTTCCGTATTTATTCCTTACTATCTACGTTAAAAAGGCTCCGATTGTGCTTAAAGTCGGCTCTAGCGAAAAACAGGACACAAAAGATAGGTATTTTGTGCACAGGAAGATAAAATATAAAATTGTACAAAAATCTCATACAGTCAATGTCATTAACGTTGTCCACCGAAAAAAGACATTTACACATTTACACATTTAGGCATTTACACATTTAGACTAAAAGAAATATCACGGGTTTTTTATTATGTATTCTATGCTTCGTGTGCGTCAGCCTGAACTTTAAATGTAAAATTCAACTCGTGAATCGAAAATCCAGAATGCCCCGACCATTTAGTGAGGATTTAAGATGGAGAATGGTATTTCAGCATTTG